TTCAATTTCCGAATATAAAACACGAACTGTGCAGAGTACGTTTTTATGCGAAAAGTAAAATTCGATGTTCTAATAAAAAGGGACCTGTCATTTTTTCTATAGTACAATGATAAGCAACTTTATATATTAAATATGAAAAACATACATATTTTTACAGATTCACTTTATGGAAGTAAATATATTATGTATCTCCTAATTTATAAAGGAAAGAACATTCTGATTAGCAATCTTTTCAATGTTTTGAAAACCTTTTATTCTGAATAACTACTCCCGCCCCAATCCCCATACACCAACACTTAAACTTATATGTATACAGCAGCCCGGTCCCCCGGGCTGCAATAAACTTTATTCAATGAACTCGCTGCTAAAGAGCAACAACAGCTTTGAAAACAGTTATAATAAAAAATTATTACATTTATCATATACTTAGTAGTAAATACACCGATTCTGAACGGTGCGATACGGGTGACGTCACAATACCCAATATCGAGGACCGGTCCGAAAATCCATATCATGTATCGGACCGGAGGGCAGAAAATCCTTATCAAACCGAAAGTAATGTTTAAAAGTTTAAAAGTAATGTTTAAAAGTTTAAAAGTTAATTCACTTCATTTTATTTATATATTCATGTAAAATACTAGTAATTCTATAATTACATTTGTGGACTTAATTTTTCCAATTACCTAAAATTGGCTCTATTAAATTTTAAAGAAAAAGATCATAAACATGTGCGAAACATTCTTCAATGACTTTTATGTGAACTCGCATATTAAGAATTTTAAATACATGTATATGATAAATAGAATATTACATACTAAAATCCATATCATATGTCATATCAGCCTTCGGGCCCCATATCAATTCTCGGGCTGATATGGGGCCACTCGTGCTGATATGACATCTGATATGGATTTTAGTATGTAATATATTCTCTATCTATATTGTAGGTCCAAACCTTATTTATTCCTTTCGCGTAATATACTATTGTAAAGTAGGTATAATGGTATGGAACTTCATCTACACCTCCCATAATGCCCCAGTAGACGTTCCCACCGACTTCCTTGTCGTGCCAGTTCGAGGCTACCATAAATTCAGTTAAAGGGGAGATAATCAAAGTATTAGCCTCGTTATCAAAAATAACCAGTGGTCCACCAGTAAGACCGTCCCTTATTTCCTTCGTCTTACTTCCCCATCTGTAGAAATAGGATTCATCGAAAAATGTCCATATTGCATACATGTACATTTTATGTGTATTGAAACGTACATTTTTGAGCATCAAACTGGTAAACGTTCAAAAGTTATATTAAAAAAAAAGTCTGTACTGGAGATGCTTACTTTCCGATGACTTTATTTGTGTCTCCTAACATATATCCACCAAATGACAGATAACCCCTGTCAACAACACCGTCCTCAATCCGGAATCCCGGAAATCCAGAAATGATTTCATCAAAAGATTTTGCTTTCGTACCAGTTCCTCCGTCTGTGTAGTTCTATTTCAAGATATAGAAACAAGTTAACAACTTTTCTTCTGTAACCTTTCACAATACACATGTTTTGTTAGAAAAGTATATACATAGATTTATAAGTCTTTAACATTTTATTTTCAGTCTTATTGATCTTTGATAAAATAGTTATCCACATAGAACTTTCTCAACTTTTTCCTAAAAGGAAAGTTATACTTGGTATTTACAACTCATTTGAAAATAAATATTTTTTAACACTTGATTACCTGCACAAAAACAAGGATGTTGGGGTCGTCGTAATATCGTATAGAGACGAACATTTCCTTCTTCCCAGCCCTGTACAAATAATCTCTTGTGGAAAAGTTCCCCAGTTTGTCGACTCCTACCTCCTTCCCAGTATAGAACAGCTTAAGCGAACCATCTGCTGCAGAGAAAAGCTTACCGCTGTCCCGGAAAAATGTCGGCGCACTTCCCAGCCACAAGTTCCCATCAACGTAAAGAGAGTAATTCCCATGGTCGTCAGTTTTAAGAGAAAATGGTTTTTGTAAAACTGCTATTTGGATGAAGGCTAAAATAAATTAAGGGGTAATATTTTTATCCTTTATAGCAATATTACAACATATAAGTTTACTATTAGACCAAAGTATACTTACATTGAAATACGATAAAGAATTTGGTAGACATTTCCTAGTGTGTTCCAATTTGATAACAGTACGGTCTCTTATCTTCTTTTCGAAAACAACAAATAATGGTAGAATGCATGTAGTCTTCTGGAAATTCAACAGTTTTGTATCTTGCTTCGCTTAAAATGACAAGTTTTACAAAACTACAAGGGTTGAAAAACAATTTCAACTAATTCTAACCAAATCCTGTATTATAGTGTAGTATGGAAAGGAGGAATGAGTAAACATACATTGAAAATTCATAAATACATATATATTGAAAACATATGGCTGGTGACCCCTGTATTTCCAGTCAGGTGCTCTAACCACTGAGCTATCTAGGCCGATGTCCTCAATCCAGCCTAATTTCCTACATTCCCCCTTCCTTAAATAGTCTTCGACCCCGAAGACACAACTCAAGTTCACCTTGTCAGGACTTAATATTAGTAATTATACACTGCCTGAACAAGGTAGGCCACGGCACCATCTGTAGTATGGAAAGGAGGAATGAGTAAACATACATTGAAAATTCATAAATACATATATATTGAAAACATATGGCTGGACCGGGAATCGAACCCGGGACCCCTGTATTTCTAGTCAGGTGCTCTAACCACTGAGCTATCCAGGCCGATGTCCTCAGTCCAGCCTAATTTCCTACATTCCCCCTTCCTTAAATAGTCTTCGACCCCGAAGACACAACTCAAGTTCACCTTGTCAGGACTTAACATTAGTAATTATACATTATATATTGCCTGAACAAGGTAGGCCACGGCACCATCTGTAGTATGGAAAGGAGGAATGAGTAAACATACATTGAAAATTCATAAATACATATATATTGAAAACATATGGCTGGACCGGAAATCGAACCCGGGACCCCTCAGTCAGGTGCTCTAACCACTGAGCTATCCAGGCCGATGTCCTCAATCCAGCCTAATTTCCTACAATAGTTTCATTCATCAAATGTCTATTACAGTAAGAAATTCTTATATGAAAACCTTTTGTGGTACAGGAGGAATGTTGCGACGATTTGCAAAATTGTCATATGTTCTAGCTGAAGGCGAACGCTAAAAATTTGGGATATGTTAAAATAGTAATTAAATGTTTTTTTTTAATAATATGTAAAAATTTGAAACACGAAAAAAAAAAAAATTCAATTGAAATAAAAAAAAACAAACCTGCAAAAGTTGTGGCCAAGGTAAAAGTTTTTTGAAAAGTAGGTCAAACTCCAAGGTCAAGGTCCAAGGGGCAAAGTTCTAGGTATTCGTTGAAAGGTCTTCTCACAAGAATTATATATATGAAATATGAAAGCCCTAGCACTTACCATTCAAAAGATATGGTCAAAATTAAAGTTTTTTTCATAGTACGGAAATCTCCAAGTTCAAGGTCAAAAGGTCAAAGTTGTTGGTATCCAATAAAAGGTCTCGCTACAAAAAATATATATGTGAAACATGAAAGTCCTAGTACCTACCGTTCAAAAGTTAGGGCCAAAATAAAATTTTGGAATTTTTGTGTAAAAGTGGGTCAAACTCCAAGGTCAAGGTAAAAAGGTCAAAATAGGTGGTACCCAAATAAAGGTCTTGTCACAAGGAATACACATATAAAATATGACAGTCATAGCTCCACTAAATTTAAAGTTATGTGCAAGGTTAAAGTTTTTGTGACGGACGGACAGACTGACAGACTGACGGACAGACAGACGGAGAGAAGGACAGACGGACAGACGGACAGACGAATAAGATTTAATGTCCCCTCGCTTTCGCGAAAGCGGGGGACAATAAAATAAACCGATCTCGGCACATAGTGTTAAAAGGATCCATAGAGTATAAAATAAACTGATATCGACCATTAAATAAGATAAGTATCTTTGTCTCTTTTTTTATTTATTTATTTATCTATTTACAAGTCAATATGATCATTAAAAGTATGAAAATACTTTTTAGTAATATAATAATGAATAGCAAGTGGGAATAATTTCTCTCAGTAGCTAGAATATATTTTGAATTAAGTTCTGGTCAGGACCAGCCTGAGAACACTTGATCGAATGTTCCTGATGCTCAAAAATCTAGTAAACAGAACTTTTATTCCTACATGATGTTATGTTTGTGATTGGATTCCAACGTTAGGAAAAGCTGGCCGAAATCCGGAAATGTTGGGTGCGTCGATTTACCCAAAAGGACCCAAAAGGACCCAAAAGGAACCCAAAAGGACCCAAAAGGAACCCAAAAGGAACCCAAAAGGACACAAAAGGAAATCAAAAGGACTCGAATTAATATATTATAATACATTGAAAAATAATAATTTGAATTAAATTATGAATATTATATTATAAATTTACCTAAAAATTGGCAAAAACATACATTTATATTGTTGCAACTTTTCTTAAAGAAATAACATACGACTTTTATAACACATCAATCATTAAATCTGGTCAGATATGCTTTGATTTCTTTTAGCTGAATTTAACAAAGTGCACTGTATTATTCTATTTCTCCTTCTGTTTTATTATATCTTATTATATGATATTTGATAAATAAAGAAATAAGTTTATTTAATGACATGTTCTAGGCATATGGTATCGGGGATGGGTGGGGGTGGGGGATGGGGGGGGGGCTCCCACCTCAACCCAAACACGCACTTTACCCTCAAAAAACTAGTTTTAGTTTTAATAAAATATGAAAGTATTCATTATATACCCATTTAATCTCTTTATTTCAAGTCCTTTTGGGTCGTTCTTAATTTCCTTTTGGGTCCTTTTGGGTTCCTTTTGGGTCCTTTTGGGTTCCTTTTGGGTCCTTTTGGGTTCTTTTGGGTCCTTTTGGGTAAATCGACGCACCGGGAAATGTTCGATACAGTCTGAATTTTAGTGATTTTCAAAATGGCTGCCTCCAGTGTGAGAAATTTGGATAAGTCCGAAAACGAGAGAAAAGGGATATTAGATACATTTCATGAAAACTTTTTAAGCAGACATTTGCGTTTTCTAGATGCTGTTGATAAATTCAAATTAGAAGTGACGGTCTTAGGTGCATATGAGATCGGATCTTGCAATGCAGCCGATCCTGATAAGGGGTGCAACTTCAAAAAGGCAGCATGCACACTGAAACCTACGAACAAAAAGTTTGCTCTAGCAAATTTCTTTATTCCTGCTTTCAAAATGTTGCATAAATTTGTAAGAAACAGGGAAATTCCTAATGATGGAAATATGAAACTGCTTCTTGAACGGCTTGTCAAGTTCTTGATACGCACAGGTATATGCATGTAGTTCAAATTTCATAATGAGCAAGTTTTCAATCTGCTATTTAATTTGTTATATCCATACATGTATCAATACATGTAGGATAGGTGTTTTGCTCTTCTCAGCCTGAAATTGAGACCATAAATTTTGCCTTCTGTTTTTACATAATTTAGTTTGGTAAACTGCAGTAATTTGGACATATAACATATACATTTGATACGATCAGCTATAGTCAGTAAAACACATAATTTAATGAATCCTGATATTTCTCTATTTTTTGCATTGAATGTATGTAATCATTTTACTGACTTGAATTAATATTATATATCCAATGTTTAATTATGCTTGCGGTTTATTTTGCAGAAATCCATGCTGCCCTGTCACAGATGAAGGACTGCAGTGATGAGACTGAATTGATCATTCTTCTCATCTTTCATTTGTTTTCTCCACTGTCCCTATCATCCTACTTCACGGTTAATCAATCAAAGTCCAGTCAACCCAAAGTCTGTCCTTGTGGGAAGAAACACAGAAAAATCATCTATGGTGACACAAGCATTGGTAAGGTCTTTAAAATGTCATATACCAGGCTCATATTTTGGCTAACTGCATCCAATTATGTTTACAAATTGAATTTTAAGAACATATTGGTACAATACAAATGTTATCATGATCTTAGATTCAGTACAATGCAGTAAAAGACTGATAAGTACAAAGATCTTTTCCCTAATTATATGTATTGTATATTGTATTATGTCAATGCTGCAAAAATGCATTACTGCGGAGAACTCTTAAAATTTTCAATTTGTTTACGTTTTATTAATCATGTGACATTGTCTCTGACTTGTTCTCCTGTCTTAAAGGTAATACAGATGTTTGGCATGGTACTGTTGATTTGATTATGGAAGGAGCGGATGTCATCATAGTTACACCAGACAAAGGAACCTCAGAAGATTTAGACTCAAGAGAAGCCGTGAAACAAGGACAATTTGACATGAATAACAATTCAGCAGGAAGTAGCCTTGTACAAGTGGCAGCAAAAACAATAGTTCATTCCTTCTACCACCACCAAATTCACCCAGATCATTCCAATACACTTATCCCCTGTATCGGTGTTTCACCGACAGGTTTAATCTTTTACTTCTATGACTCTGTACATGATGTTTTGCTTGGGAGTACACATTTTCCACTGGCTACTTTTTCCCCGCTACATTTAAACTGGACAACCGTTATAGCTGTGTGGATGGTATTGAATCATAGTTACTTGTGCAATGGACTTTCTTCATTAGATATAGATGAAGTTCCTAAATCCCATTTTTTGGACATTGCCAGAAGCAAACTTGATATTTACAAACATGAGTTACAGAGGGGACGAGTTGGAACAAGGCACTTCAGTGTATTCAACCTAAATCCAAATTCATTCATTAATGCCAAATTCATAGCAGCACCCGAGTTAGCAGATCTATAATTCAGCTTATGATGTGTTGAATTCATTTCACCTATCAAAATATACAAAACTAAACAACTGCTAAAGAAAAGTAATATTGTGAATTATTAGATTTTTGTTTTGGTAGGCAATATTGAATTAAGTAGTTGTGTAAAGTGAAATTATTTCAAATTATTTATTTAAAATGCTGTGACATTAAATATTTTTTTGAACATACATTGATATCTTTAAACTGGTATTCAGACATGAATCTTGTATATTAAATTAAACATTTACATTTTGCTTAATGCATGTACTGAAGAGTTAAATGAAATCTGAATTTCAAATTCGATCACCATGTTCACACAGGTTTTCAAGCATTAAATACATGGTCAGGAAACAATTTATTGTCATCTTATGTTCATTCATGTACTTGCAAAAACACACTAAAAACTATATTGTGTTTTTTAAGCTTATTTTTAAAGGATTTTGTTTTGTAGTCAGAGAAAGCTGAAATTTTAGTATATACATGTACAGTTTTCCTAAAAAAAAAAAAATCAGGGGGAATAACTCGTACTTCAGTAAAAAAAAAAAAAATCACTAAGTTAAATTCTGTTGACAAAATTGAAAATTTGACAATTTACTTTAAGCAGGCCATAGCATGAAATGCTACAATAGAAAAAATATAAGAAATATCCCTACTCAGACAATTTAATTGATTCTTTAATAATATTTTTGTACAGAGAAATATTCTAAATTCTTCTCTAAAACTTTTGCAAGTCTTGAGAAAAAAGGGGGGGGGGGGTAAGAGGGGGGTCGTTTTAATTTCAAGCACAAACTATCTCAATTATGGTCCAATTGTTTGAGCAAAGTTTTACAAGAAACACCTCTTAGATGCTTACTTGTGTAATACATGCATATACAACTCTGACACAGTTAGGCACTTCCTCTTTTAAAATCTTCAGTACCAGTGTTCTCTCAACTTAACTCAATAATGAAAAATTCATCATTGTTGTTTGTATTTAATTTTGAAAAGCATTATTATGGAAATCAATAATGAAAAATTCATCATTGTTGTTTGTATTTAATTTGAAAAGCATTATTATGGAAACACTTTGAATGCAAAATACATAAATGACTTATTGCTTTCATCACTCTTTCAATTTGACAATGGAACACATTTTTGTAGAGAGTTTACTTAACAAAGTCAGATATTTAGCCATGTCTTCAGTGATGATCGGACCTAAAACTCCTACTCGGGAGGTACTAGTTACACGAACAATAACTCCATTACCAACTCTCAACATCAAATATACTTTTCTTTAGTAAGATCTCAATTATACATGTATAAGCTTCATAAATGTAAACGTATTCAATGCTTCTTGTCTTTAACTGGCTCCCAGACAAAATAGATAGACCAGTACACAATGTTAAATAAAATGTAGCACAAAGGGAAAACAACACGAGCATGTTGATCCACAGTTCTTCTTCTTTTATTATCCTTATCCATTTTATTGACGATATATTTCTTCTCTGAAACCTGAAATAATTGATAAAAAACATTATTTTGCTAATTTTGCACCGCTTTAAGCTATAATTATTTTCATACGATAAGTAATTAATGCTACAAATGGATTGAAATAATATCTTCATATAATTTGATATAAAAAAAAGCAGGCACATCGTTTCGTTTTTTTAGAAATTTAGGGAATGACAACTAAAAAAAAATCACAAGCAAACAAAACTAACAAGCAAAAGATGTCAAGGGTCCACATTGCTCGCCTGAGCACTTTGGCAAAGAAGAGGAGCAGTATTGAAAAGTTGAAGAATACTTATTGTTCCGACGTTTTATCCTCCATTGAGGCCTTGCCCTACCTCCAGGGGCATGGATTGATTGAAACACATCTGAAATTACTAGTACTCAGAGCGAGGATGCTTTCGAATGTTCATGAGTTTTAACTGTTGAGAATTTTTGAAGATTTTTTTCCGTATCTTAACTACTAGTATGTGAAAAATTTGATCTCTAATAGTGATTCCACCCTAACCCCAGGGAAGGGGAGTGGCCCTTCATTTGAACACATTTATTGAAGGGTAAACGTACTTTGTGCCAAGTTTGGTTGAAATTGGCCCGCTGGTTCCGGTGAAAAGACGAAAATGTGAAATTTTAGCGACGACAAAGGACAAACTTCAGTCAGAATGCTCACTTGAACGTTTGGCTCAGGTGAGCTAAATATGAAAAAGGTCCAAAATCTTATTGCGTGTTTCTGGCAGTAAAAGTATATGTTTGGGTAAAAGTGAGGGGGCATGCCCTCTGATACTAAGTGCCTGTCAACGCAGATGTTCTTTATGCCAATACCTGTATACCGTCTGTTTCATTGCTAGGAATGGAGGCCATGCGTTTTATTATGTCACTGAAGTTGTTTGAATAAGGGGTACCGGCTTCTTTATCAAGCGCCTTTTTAAGATGCTGGCGGGTTTGAACATTAATATATGCAAATTCAATCACGGCAAGGAAAACGAAACCGAGGCTCGCTGCTGTCCACACATTCATTGCTGTTATATATGAAACGTTTTGGACACTGATATATTCATTCTGTGTCGTCATTGCTAACACAGTTAGAATTCCCAGGGATGTCCTGGCTGCTGTAGCCTCGATATCGATCCAGAAGGAAATCCATGAGAGCGTGACAATGAGCATGGACGGCACGTACATGTGAGTGAAGTAGAAGCCATTCATCCGAGTCAAGTATAGGTCAAGTCCTATACAGGAGTAGTTATCTGCAAGTTGTATAATGTTTTTATACATAAACAACACGATTTAAAAATGCATGTATATAAGCAAAAGGTTGGCAAAAAAAAAAATGATGACTGAATTATGTGATCAACATGTGAAAACAAACAATTTTAAAAGAATCTCATCATCTCGAGCACTTATTTAATTTTCAAATCTCCAAATGGCTCCGCTGTGAAATGGCATACATGTATAATGGAAATAAATTGTATTTGAGCAAAACATTTTTCTGCTCTTTTCAAAATTATTATCAGATACATGTATTAACTTACATCCCATATATTTCCGATCACATTTGTAGGCTACAGTTCTGTCTACCGTGAACTGTGTTAGTTTTATGTTGGGACTGAGAATCGCAGGCGAAGAGGCCCAGCGCACCTTCATATATTTAGCACTATGGCCATCTATTTAAAATATGTATATGCTATAAGCTACATATTTAAATCTGGTATATATACATGTAACATCTGTCAATGCTTATTAAACTACTATTAACACAAATTGATATAAACTAAAATCTGCAGACGATATAAATTTATTCATTTTGTTTGATGTTTTGTCACAGTTAATGCACATGTCAAATATGAAAGCCCTATCTTTTCTCATTCAAAAGTTATAAGTAACAAGATGCGTTTGTGAAACACTGATGACCCCGTATGGCAACATAACGAAGATTAAACTTTTCTTAAATGCAAATTAAAAAGTAGGGTCTTCTCACAAGAAATACGATGGTGAAATATGAAAGCACTTGCACCACCTGTTCAAACGTTATGGCCAAGGATAAGTGTTTGAAATGTAGGTCAAACTCCATAGTCAAAGAGTCAAAGTTGTTGGTTTCTTAAAAAAGGTCTCGTCACAAGAATTAGATTTGTGAAGTATGAAAGCCATAGCCCTTACCGTTCAAAAGTTATGGCCAAGGTTAAAGTTATTAAAAAGTAGGTCAAACTCCAAGGTCAGAATGTAAAGTTCTTGATATCCAATGAAAGGTCTTGTCACAAGAATTAAATATTTGAAGTAAAAAAGCCCTAGCCCTGACCCTTCAAAGATATGGTCAGTCTGTTTTTTAAAAGTAAGTCAAACTCCAAGGTCAAGACCAAAGGATCAAAGTTCTTGATATCCAATGAAAGTTCTTCTCATAAGGATTACATATTAGAAGTATGAACGCCCTACCTCTTACCGTGAAAAAGTTGTGGCCAAGGTTTAAGTTTTTGAAAGGTAAGTAAAACTCCAAGGTCATGGTCAAAGGGTCAAAGTTGTTGGTATCCAATGAAATGTTTTGCCACAAAGAATACATATATGAAATATGAAAGTCCTAGTTTCTACCGTTCAAAAGTTATTGTCAAAGTAAAACTTAAAATTTTTTTGTAAAAGTGGGTCAAACTCCAAGGTCAAGGTTAAAAGGTCAAATTTGGTGGTGCCCAAAGAAAGGTCTTGTCACAAAGAATACAATGTTCATACTAGTATGTGAAATATGAAAGTTTCAGCTCCACTAAATCAAAAGTTTTGGGCAAGGTTAAAGTTTTTGTGACGGATGGACAGACTAAGACGGACAGACGAATGAGATTTAATGTCCCTTCGCTTTCGTTAATTTATACTTACAACTCTCTATTGTTAAAGAGCAGACCTGTTTATCCAGGGGATACTTCCTCAAGTCCATGTGACAGGAGTAGGTTCCCGTGACTCTGAAAAGGGTTGGGCAAATTTTTTTTTGGTATCACTTATAGAAACATTCTATACATGCTTGTCCTGTTTCTTGGTACATACAAATTAACAATTCAAAGAATGAAGTCTAGCAGAAATTTTTATTATCTGTCACTATATGTATTACTATAGGTATGTTCATGAATGATTGTCAATAATGGTGAAAATTGAAGACAAATTGATTTTCTTAGGACGAGAGAGCAAATAAGCAAGATCTTTTGTTGTTGATGAAAATTTCAAATTCACGTATCCACCGATATGAAAGAAATCTTAAGAAAAAACAAGTTGTGTTTGTGAAACACTGATGACCTTGCATGATAGTGTTTTGAAGGTTGAAGTTTCTCAAATGCAAGTTTAATCCAATATCGGGATGAAAAATGTTTTGACCCCCCCCCCCAAGAACTTACTCTCAATGAAAATTCCTGTGAAATATGAATGTCCAAGCTTTAACCATTAAAAAGTAATGGCCAAAGTCAAGGTCAAAGGGTCAAACTAAAGGTTCCCAGGGGAAGGCCTTGTTATAAGAAATACACATTTGAATTTGAAATCTTGACATGGTCAGGATTGCCATCCTCATTGGCCAGGATTGATTTTTAATGAATTATATAGAACATGACATGGTGGTCTTCTATGGCTTCCCATAATCCTGACTAAGACATGTTATCATTCCTGACTTGGTCAAGATTGAATCATGACCGGACCAAGATAGGATGGCCGTGTTATCAATCCTGACTTGGCCAGGATAAGATGGCCATGTTATCAATCTTGACGTGGTCAACATTGAATCATGACTTGGTCAGGATAGGATGACCATGTTATCAATGTTGACTTAGTCATGTTGTCAATCCTGACCAGGTCAAGATGGTAAAAATCATGACTTGGTCATGTTTGAAATCTAGACATTATGAGGATTGCCATCCTTACCGGCTAGGCTTGGTTTTGAATGAAATATATAGAACAATACAATGGGGATTCCCCTATGGCTTTCCATACTTTTGGTATCAAAAGGAAGGCTTTGTTACATGGAATACACCTATGAAATCTGAATGTTCAATTGCTAACTGTTTAAAAGTTCTCTTCAAATTAAAGATTTAATCAAAAGTAGGCTAAACTTAAAGGCTAATTATAAGGTCAAAAGGTCAACTTACAGCCATATGACAAGATTTTATAACAATGAATACACATTAGAAGTATGAAATCCTTAGCATTAACTGCTCTATAGTCATTGCCAAGGTTTAAATTTGGTAAATTCTTGCAAAATTGGGTAAAACTCTAAAATAAAGAGGTCAAATATGTTGGTACCCAAAGAACAGCTTCTAAAGTTATACACATGCGAAATATGAAAAGTCATAGCTCCAACCAATGAAAAGTTATGTGCAATGTTAAAGTTTTTGCGGACGAACAGATAAAAAGACAAACAGCTAGGAAACCAGATTGACAGGGCATAAACTATATACCCCCGTATTTTCAATAAATTTATTAACTTTGAAGAATTCTCAATTTTTAAAATCGAACAGAAGGGAAATCGATTGAGTTATCTATAGTTAAATGTTTTATGCAGAAATTACCTGATACTATGTAACAGTTTGCCCTCAGGTAATATATTTAGCATTCTGTTTGGAACCGATACGCTGTGAAACTGAGCTGATTTTTCATTTAGGAAATAAATATCTGGCACCCAGATGGCCTCCATAGCAGAGTGGGGTAGTTCAAGAAAGGTAACTCCACTTGTGTTATATGTCAGTCGCGAATCTTTCCATCGTTGTCGCAGGAAGAAGCTCATCTCGAATTCCTAGATTATTAAATATGCATCTCTTTGAAGACAATAGTTAAGTTTAGTGAAATATACATGTATACATAGTTCCTCAAATTTATTAAAGACATCATCTTTAAAAAAATGTTTGGTTGCCCTTTCCCGACCTATTCTCTTTAGAGAAGTGGACAGGCTTTCGCCTACATGTATATCCATAGATGGATGTAGTCGAATTAAGAGAATATTCCTGACCATCTGACTAAAATTAGCCCGAGTCAAAACATTTATTTACATTTCAGGACACGGTATTTTTTTTCTTTTTATTCTTCTCATCCCGCGTCAACACATCTGTTGAAATTTTCTAGAAAACAATTCCCACCTACCTACCGACCAAATGATTTTACCCCCAGTCAGAAGAAGGCAAAAAAAAAAAAAAACATCACTTAATGGCCTGAAATTATCCCAAATTATATTTTATGCATTTTGAAACTGTGATTTGATCCTTTATGAAATACATATGAAGTGTTTTTCTGAGATTTAACGATATAGATTTATTGCATTGTAGCATCACTAGGGACCTTCTGAATGTAATATTTATAAATTAATCCATACACCTGTCGATTTATTAACTGTCCCAGCTTAATTAAAATATTACTTTATTTAATATTATATTAAATGCCAAAATCAAAGGGCTGAATCACTGTTACTTTTGTCTGTCGGTTCTGGAAAAGCAATCGGAAATAAGGTTTTAATGTTTATCAAAGGTTTGTCACTTCGCCATTACGTACAACGTCGAACATGATCGAGATTGAAGATAGAATGTATATTTGTACCAGAATATAAAGAAAGATGTTTGATCATTACTCTTAGAGTAAAAATGTTACAGTAAAATGTTACGGCATTCAGTAAACGAACTCCTCTATCGCTGTGGCCTTTACGATTAAGATGTGTTACTTGTATAAATTCTTAATACCAACCATTGTTTTGTCACTAGAGAAATCCAGACTTAATATATATAACTGCACATAGTCTGTCACAGGACCATCTCCTAAAGGTTTAAAAAGTGAATCAATATTTTTAAAATGAGAATTTGAAATGTCAAAGTGCAAACAAGTTTGAAAAAAAACTTACCCGCATCATCAGTCGGTGAAATCCTCTTATCATAGTGTGCCAGTAAATCATCTATAATTTTCTGTCTAAAATAAATGTTTATTATTTTATTCCTACATATATGCCAGTGTTTATGTATATGCTAGTTCCTTGACTTAGCTTCATTACTTCCACCAATAGAAAATAATTTTTTAACACTTACAGCACACGAAGGTAAGCAAACATTACTTTCCGTAAAATTTTAAATCGTAAAAAACTTTTTTATATAAAGTGTACCGAGTCATTGTCTTTAAAAAATAAAAAAATGAATATTTCTATATAAAAAAAAATAGAAACCAAAACTTTTACTTTTAAAATATCTTATTAAAATTTGAAGAAAAAAATAGACTAATGAAAATCTGACTTACTTGTTGATTATGTTTGTATGCAATTCAACAAACTGAAAGAACATTGGCAGCACAAAACAAAATGTTGATGGCATCCTCACCATCTCTCAATGAAAACACGATAGCTAAATGTTCCCCGGAAATTTAAGTTTTTTAAAAAATAAATCCTTGACAAAGCAAACATTACATTACGAAATTTTAAAAATATTTTTAAATGCGCCGTTCAGAAATTGTTGATTTGTTTTAAATCAGTATCCAGAAATTTAAAATTCCATCCCACTCAAACACGGTATATTTTCTCATGAATAATGGCCACTATTGATAAAAAATGTCAATGGTGCCTTAATTCCACTGAGAAAGTCAATAACGTGTATATAAACAATAAAATTCAGACATTCTTTCAAAGCCTGTACATTTATGGAGAAATAGTATTGTGATATTAAAATAACTCAAATTTATTCTGAAAGGCCATAAAGTAATAGGATCAATTTTAGTTTAAAATAACTGCTTTTTCAGTAAATCTGAAATATGTATCAAAGACCTTTACTTTTGATTTTCTTTTCTGAATATTAAGATAACTATGACTCATCTGCCTTAATTAATTCAGTAAAAGTTTAAGACTAAATATTATTTTCTTCATGACAATTTGTTAGTGCAAAAAAGTCAAATAATTTCGTTTTTGAAGTAATTTGAAATTTCTTTGTCACAATTTTGAATGGGTCTTTTCAAGATAGATTAAGGTATATTTGGTTCTACTGATTTATTTGGGAAAAAATAGAGGGGGGGAAAAGTGATTTATATTCTAGACACAATTTCTGTGTTAAAAGGTCATATTAAATATATCATAAAAGAAAGTTTATTGACCCCCATTTTTGTTTTTGAATTTTAATTAATTTAGTGTGTAGATACTAAAAAATACTTGTCAAAAAATCTTTCGCCATTGGAATGCAGGAACCAACCAAAATAGTCAGGTAAAGCAATTTAATGTACAATGTATAGGTTCCACTGATCAGAAAGTTAAAAAAAATGGGTGTGTGAAACTCATGCATTGTAATCCTCCACAGTATTTACATATTTACATAAAGTAGATCAAAACCAAATCAAAAACGTACTCACCAAAAAAATTGCATAATTTGTCTACTTTCATTCCAAGCTCTGTTAAACTTCTTTGAATTCTAATATTATGTACTTCACTACACTGCATAACAGCTTTAACTGGATTTTAGTTTTGGGTATCAGAGGTATACATTATTTTATAACATATCTCCGGAATTAGTATCATAGCAAATGCTAAAACACGCACAGACCATGCGTACATTTTTCATAGAAATATTTATAATACAGCAAAACAATATGCAATTGATTAGTCATAGCATTTGCCAAAGGCTAACTGTTACCAATTGCTTTGCAAAGCAATCTTGAGTTAAATATCATTTTTAGAATGAATATTTAAAATATCGTAAAATTTACTATATTTTAAAGGGAACTAGTTATTCAGACTCATTCTTTACTATGAAACAAACTGAACGAACATGATTAAATTTAAGTATCATCCTGTCAGTGATGATGAATTTTGAGCTAATGCATGATTCGACTGGTGCATTATGGACTGATAAAAAACATTTGATCTTGGTAGTCCCAAATTGTCCCATATTATTTCAACACACTATTGCAGGCTACTAGTGCAGTGAATTTACAGTTGAAAGTTACAAGAAATATTCTTTTTCTAGCATTATAAAATCTTGAGTTAAATAGCATTTCTGGAATTAATATTTAAAGTATGTTATCGTCGTTACAAAACTGACGGCACTCGTTCGCAAATGAATCCATGGGGAATAGTTTCACCAACATCATCCCACAGTCCTTTATATGTTACAGTCAGTGCAATAGAAGAACGATAGCTTTGAGGTTCCCCGGGATACCAGTGAAATGTGACAATTTCTCTTCCGTCGGAAAAAGTCCAGATACCATTGTTTTGTTTTTTACCGTCAATTCGATATTTCGAAACAGAGCCTAAAAATGGCAAAAAAAAAAGCCCCAAGAATATATAGTTATTTTGCTACCAGAGAATATGCAATGAAATGTCATGTAATTACTTCCTTACTTGTTGTTTGTAGTTTTAATGATTCTACAAAAAGTTGTTTCCTGTATGTATTGATTCTCAGCAAATGGCCATTACTTTGTTGACAGGATGTCACAGCATCAGCCTTGGTTAAAGCCACAGCATTAATTTTATAACACAGAGGGATCAAAGGATCGTAGACATATCCATGTGATGAACACTCGGATTGAAGTTTATCTAGTAAGACATTTAAGGAATGAATTTAATAGCTACCCATTTTATACGGTATAAACTGGGTTGGGGCAGTTTACGCTTTATAAACCGCGAAGCGGTTTATAAGAAAGCGTAAACTGTTCCAACCCAGTTTATACCGTATAAATGGGGAGCTATTAAATTCATTCCTTATGATTTCATTTTCATTCAATTGATGTAAGAAAGAAAGATGATTGTTCCAACAAAATGACTTCAGTTTGTACAAAATTTGAATGTAACGTCAGGCGGATTGATACGTTTTTGACGCGCGTCATTGTGACGTAGGCAACCCATTTTATACGATATAAAATAATTTTTTATCCAATCAAATACAGTGTTACAACCAGAATTAAATTATATACAAATAGGTGACGAACTAACATGCAGCTCCTTATAAATTACGTCATCTTAAGATTAATAAAAAATAGGCTGGACGATACAGTCCTGAATCATATAGTAATTATAACAATTACTTGTGATTAAAATGCTGCTCCTTTAACACCGTCACATATGGTACAAGTGTATATACATCATTTAATATGGCATATTTCAAATACATTACCAAATATTTATCCGAGATACCAAGGGAACATGTTTTCTTAATAATCTTATCGGAGATCATATTAATTTACTTTGAAGTAGAAAATTTTTTAATTATTAAGTCTATATATTAAACATTTCGAATTGTCCGAATTTCCCCTGGTCCGAACTAATATTTTTCCTGAAGTAAACAAGTAAACATTAGTCTCTAAATCTAATAAAAAAAAAAACTACAAAAAATCAAGAGAATTTTAGCGGTCAATATCTTGGCGTTTTATTGAACGCTGAGTTTGTATTACGTATAATAATGAGTATGCACGAAATATTCCAAATACGAGCGTTCAATATCGAAAAAATGTCGTTCTGGTGAAATTCTCCGAGTCAAATTAAAGAAAAGAGGTGGTATCTAGGTAAGATGTGTTTATTATTTTTTTTTTACACAAAAATGAAATTACTAATTAAGAATTTAGTACGTATTAGACCCACTGAAACCTAAAAAGCAAATCATAACGTTCTGTAGGGTGATCGGAATGATGCCTTATTGAACACTTATAGGACAAGCCTTAATTTAATACATCGATACCAAAATAATCATTAATTTGAGTTTTTTAGTGGAATAATTATTATAAATTATGAGGAAATGTTTTCGCTATATAATAAAGGAGTTATTGAACTTATATTGGTGAATATTGGTACAAGCTGTCTGTACAAATACTTATTACTCAAGGCATCTTTGTTCTTGAAATGCTGTAAAAGTGATTAAGTTTTTTGAAGGTCACTTCTCGTGATTTGAAGGAGGAAAAATTAGGATCTAAATCTTTTGAATTCAATTTCCTGAGTAAAAAAAGTGTTGAGTTGCTATAGGTCTGAAATTTCACATTTAGTAGAAGTAAGTGGGAAATCAATTCTACTAGACCGACCTCTGCATCTCACGGAATTAAAAAAAATAACCTCCAAGAAGATAAATGAGTTCCAAATGAAATGATGATTAAGATTCAACAAATTGTTTAACAGTTTTTGTCTAAGACAACATTATTGCTGAATATTTGATATGAAAACAGAATAATTACCAACTATATCAAAATGAAACACACTGTATGACTTCGTAAAATATGACTCGGTGGTATAACTTTCACTGAACTGTTTGGATGCTTCCAAAGTCACACAGTGGGTTCCATTAAAGAAAAACGAAGAACAAGTTGAAGAAGCGTGACACTCTCGTCCACACATTCCCAGCATCTGTTTGGACGTTAACTCAATGGGTTTAACCGTTGGGTTTGTATTCAGTTGTCTAGCATATGTTGTATGTTTGTATGACTGTGCCGAAACTAAAAGTAGCAATAAAATTATGTATGATTTTGGCTTGTCATTTAAATCTTTTCCGGAGCATATGATTATATAGGAAAATAATCTTTTTAATTAAGTAAACAGAGAAAATATCAAGTCGTCTTTAATTCCCTTATTATTCAATGGATTGAACACAGGAAAACATTCAAATTCAATAAGTGTTTTTATGAAAATTGTTTTTAATAAAATTGGACAAAAACGTTCCTTCTCAAAATTGATTTTTTTTAAACACCATTGCATGGTATGCACATATATTATACAAGATACACACAATTAAAGTCTTCATATTCGAAAATGGGATTTGATTTATATTGTACATACCTTCATTCAGAAATAACAGCAGTATAATCATGTTCAATGCGTAAACCCTATCAGAACAGTTTCCGAAATGTGAAGTTTAACATCAATCGCAATAAATATTCGAAAATTCTTGGGAGACTGAAAGTCAATTAACAGACATTAGCAGAAACTTTAACCACTTAAAAATTAATTTTTCTGCTGAATTATGCTTCAAATGATCGTTTCTTGTCTGCACATAAAAAAACGTCATGATAAACAGTTAAGATAATTATGCTTGATAGGTTAAAGGGTTACTCTAATTGCTGATTATGATAATGATAATTGCTGATCATTTTGTGCAACGGGTTGTAAGTGGATTTCACACATTCCAAAAAGGAAAAAAATAGGCTAAAAGATCTTTATGTTGATTTTTCATGAATAATATTTTTTTAATTTAAACTTCAAGCACCGTTCTACAGTTGATAAGAGCGTCGTTCAATAAATAATGGAACATGTCATCTAAAAACCAGAAAAGTACGTAATACATAACTATGCTTTACACTTTCGATCCCCAAGGCATTCCCTGTTACCCTTTACTCATGTTAGGTCTTTTTATCCATGAACAGAAAACCTCAGCATATACTCATCTTTCGGGGTTCCCCAAAGACACTGATGGATATAATTTCCCACGAAATTCCTGACATTGTACAATCTATTATTGTTTTCATGTGTTTGGGGAATAAAACGATCTTACAAAGGCTTAGATCTAGCTGATATGAGCGGTGGAAATGTCCTGTTTACTTTCTTTTCTTCAAAATCTTATTTATTTCTCTAAGCTTATTTGCAACTGCAATGTCAGTGACAGGAAAAATACCGTGGTCACCGAAACAATGACTACCGTTGCAGGAAATCAGCTTAACTTTACTTACTGCAATTCGAACATCAAAGTTACAAATGCTAGTCCTTTATTTGGATGTATGTACATGTTCTAAAGGACATATCTTATTGTTTTCTCTTCCCACTGTTTTCCCTCAATTTTCCTTCAATTATGTACTGTTTAATTCTTTTAATATTAGTTTATAAATACATGTCATTTAAAACACAATTTTGTAAATTGTATCTTGATCTCAAATGGAAAGAACTAACATAGGTCATTGGCCTGCTGTTCAATCCATGTTCATTGTATACTTTTTTGTATATTATGAATAAAATACTTCTTAAACTACACAGATTTGAAGTTAATATCTTCTCTAATTTTCTGTATGGTATTACGAATTATATATTTTGATAGCATTTCACACAAAAATATATTAAAAATCTTATTTCGTCTAAACGTTATTGAAACTTCAAATTTTTGGATGGATTTGATTGACACATCCTTGCACTATCCCAAATTTTAATTTTATTCTTATTACCGAGGAAAAGTGGCAATCTTGTTGTGTATTAATAAAAAATATTAAAACATGTGATAACAAACAGTTTCAAAAAAATCTCATATCGAGCATTTATCAAATTTTCAAATCTCCATATGGCTCCTCAATTTAGTAGCACACACATATACTAGAAGTGAATTATATTTGAGATAAAAAAAATTCTCTTAAGTTGAATATTACAGCATATTGAGGAAGCTTTAAACACCAACAAAAACTTCTTTGACTTGGAGGGAAAAAATTATCATATAAAGGTGTGCATGTTGAAACTTTGTCAATCATTTATAACATACGATGCCTGCCTTATTTCCACAGGAAAAAGGTTTTTAAAAAACAGTGCACTATTTGTGAGCAGAAATCACTGCTGTTTACTTGCATTGGAAAAATTAATGAAAATAATGAAATTAATTACTTATCCTTGTTCTTATATAATGCTAAAAATATTTTAATATATTACAAATCATGTAATTAACTGAAATTACATTTTTGAAAATCTTACTTCTAAGGGCAGATCACTCTAACTGCATAAAGCTACCCTATAAGTAGAACTTTTTAGTGTGCAGTGTTTAGACCTTCCTTAAATAAATAGGGAAAGATGACGATGGAAAAGCTGAAGTATATCATTAGCTTAGTCATCATTTGACGGTTTAAGCCTTAACCAGTAAACCATCCAAATATAAAACGAATTCGACAGACTCTGAAGTTTCATTTGAGAAAAATATCATGTTGACATTATTCTTAACTCTTTATTGTGCTATTTACGGCTTCACATTCGGTTTATTGATCATATCATTCATTCATCATACAAAGAAAATTAAAAAAATTCTTTCGATCAAAAACGAAATTAAATGTAGAAATCCAAATGACTAAAAACAAGATCTACTTGATTTAAAAGGAAACACAAAACGCATTTGTGTTATTATCCTTTTCTATTCCCTTTCTAAGCTTGCTTACATACATGTCCTCTAATCTAACGTCAAACCTCTCATCTGTATTGACGTTTGATTGTCTGCGCCATTGAGTTTTCCTTTTTATCCTATTTACTTATGTATTTTTCATTGCACACAAATTATATCATTTCATAACGCACAACAATTATTGTTTGCCAAGGGAAATCAACAAGCTGTTGTTCTGCATTAACTTTTAGACTGCGCATGTTTTTTAAAAATCCTTTCCTATGGTTGTTGTTGCTATGTTCAATTAAAAAAAAAATTAAACTTCGTACAATTTACATGAAACCCATTGCAAATGCTTCGGATATACATTTATGTCCTATGCAATACACTGCTTTAAAAATTGAAATAAAAATGGATGTTTTTTTTTATTGTAAACAACATTCACTTGAGACAGTCCAATAAGTTCTAAGAGAGTGCATTATGAACACAATAGGTTATAGGCCTCAAACTGTCCATACTGTGAGAAGAAAGAACCATGGTCGGGCTTAACGGCCTTCCAACAGTTCTTTCTTCTCACAGAATGAACATTTTTTGGCCTATATTCATTGTAATTGGACAATTACAGGTAATACAATTTTTGAATATCTGACTAAAGAATATTTAATCACAAGGCCTGGGATTCCAACACCATTGTGTTGTGATTGTGAATGCTGAAAGATTGTCTTCTTTTGAGGGAGAACGCATATTCTTTATGTAAAACAAATGCAGACATGAAGAGGCCATTCTCAAATGATATTTTGAATTTTGAACCTAGGATTGTCAAGAAAATGAACTTTGAGCTCAAAGTGGATTTTTTCATTAAAAATTTTTCAACTTTTTGTCAAGACATTTCAAGGACGCAGAAATGCAAAGGGAACGTAGAAAAGTTTCCGTAATTGAATTAACAATATTCATATGATTTAAAAGAGGGTAATAAGAGCAAAAAATGTAAACAGGCAGTTGTGACAGAGAGAATGCTACACAATCACAATTCTCAACGTTGATGTTTTCTTGCTTAAGAACCCCTTTGATAAACAAATCAACAAAATGATAAGCTTTTTTCTCGCTGTACAGTCAGAAACACAACGGGAGAGGAGTAGACAAAACTTTTGACAAAACATCCTTGCATTCTTGTCGTAGAAAAAAAAAACGATGGATGTGCTCCTGCAGAAAAATGAGCAAAATTATCCAAAGTACTAGTGAGATATAAGAAGGAGTGATTGATTCTTGCTAGGAGAAGTGATATCCCCTTGAGTGTTGTTGGTGCAAATTTCACTCCAATAGAATTCTAAGATATTTCCTTCATTGGCAGTGTAAGTTTTGATATTCATTGTGAGTTGGAATATACATTTCATCATTTTTGGGAATAATTACAAATTTTTGGTTCTCTTACTTGGAATTGATTATTTGATTACATTGTGAAACATGCTACATTAATTGCCTTATATATTTTTTGTGTTTATGCGTGGTGTGTTTTCTTAATCCAATGAGTTACCTGTAGCCATTCAATAGGTTAGTAAAAACTTTCCATTATTTTTAATAATAGACAGATTTTTTAACTTATTGGACAGTTTCCGGTAATTTATTGGACTGTTTAGGGCCTTGCAAGAAATAGAAAGTATTTAAAGAACAAGATGATGTCAGACTCTTTTAAATGCATTTATATGTATATATTTAGAAGTTTACATTCACAAAACATTGGTCGCCCAAACTTTAACCTCTGCCAAATGAAGATAGTTGTCAGAGCCTTTAGCAATCTGGATTTTGACGTATCTAACCCTTCTGACAAGTGGACAGCGCACTACAATCCTTGTCCTCTCCTGGTCCTTCAAAATGCCCACAAAGTTCCATATTCATATGCGAAGACCCAACACTGATATTCGCATCACGAAAGCGATTTGCTGTAATAAAGAGACTGAAAAATCAACGTTTTATAATCTGTAAATCATATTTCCTCAGTTAGAACAGTATATTTACCATAAGTACGCTTGGCGTTTTGCTCGCAAAAAATCTCGCGTATTTATCAAGTATCAAGATTCTTATAATATTACTAAACGAGGCCCACGGGCCTTATAGGTCAACTGAGTATTATGTAACTACTTTCCAACAATTGAATTGGTTCGTGTTTTAAATCAAAGGCCATTGTCACAATTTCTATTTAATTTCATTATGTTGTTTATGGCGTACCATAATTTCATTCTCATCGTATAGTCGTTACGGATAGCTGTAAGATCGGTTTGTACAATTCGTCGAAGTGGGAGTTCAGAGCAGGCCGTAGAAGTGAGAAGATGTGTCCTTCCTAGAGAAAATGTCGTATGACCCGTGTGGTCGCGTAAAATAGCTGTGTGCATTAGGCCTGAATGTTTTGTGAGTGTTTGAGAAGCTTTCCTGTGTGGACTGTAGAGTAAAGTTGAGAACTTTGGCAGAGGTGAGTTTGAAATGTTTATTTTCTTAGCTAGGTTATTTTGTGGGGTTTTTTTTTCTTTGTCTATAGTTATTACTTTGTTAAGTTTTATTAGTGACAGACAATATATCCGACATATCCAATTGTTCCTTGTGAATGCGTTATTACCGACTATGGAAACCCAGACTTTGAAGTAATGTGTTATTATAGGTGACCAGCTCGATCAGCTGTGTATACATGTATCGTACGTGTGACGTTACAGGATACTGTGATGTTACTGCAGCGTTGGAGGAAATCCTACGTACTAATACGTTGATGGTTGATGTGGACTGTGTCGCAACGATAACAGGAACTCTAACCAGCGACTGTGTGTATATACGAACAAATGAACAATACGACAACGTCTTGGGTCACATTAGAAAAATCTGCGGATATGTGCACGTGTCAAAGAAACATTCATCTGGTCGGGTTTGACAATGTTTTAGTCAATGTATAGACACTATTATTATTTTTTTGTTTATTATTATTTTTTTTTCTTTGTTTTTTTTTATTTGTGCGAGTGTTGTAGTTGTGCGTGCTGTGTGTGTGTGTAGATGTTCTATATTTTGTTTTAGAGCAGTATAATAAACTTTTGTTTGCATGTACTCTGTGTCCTTTTTACAAGATTTAGTTACAGCGAGGGATTATTTCCATGCCATTTATCACAAATTGTGTCAGCCATGAAATTCAAAATTTTGAAAGAGGCACTATTGCTTATCATAACTATACACTTAGCTTGCTTACTTTCGTTACTGAATACCCAGAGGTAGATCAGAGTAACAAAGAGGAAAAGCATTTCCAATTAATAACCAGTTGTGCATCCCACCCCATAGGAACTACTGACCCTCGGGGCACATATTTCAAACTTCTGGAAATTTTATCATAAAATTTATTTCATCATAAATGGTTAATTAATACCAAAAACCAGATTTCAAAGCATTATTTATTTTCAGACTATGTAACCCCCATCCTAAGTACCTTGATACAGAGGCCCTGAAATTAACCATTTTGGAAGAGGCACCTTTCATCATCATTAATATGAACTTAGAACATTGACATAATACCCAGGAGCAAAGGAAAAGGTTAATGCATTTTCAATATATTATCATTAGAGCCCCGCCCTAACACCAAAACCACTGCCCCGTGGGTCCTGAAATTCATAAATCTGGAAGAGGCATCCTTCCTCATTATAAATATGTATATAGTTCATTGGTTTAATACTCAGGAGCCGATAAGAAGATTATTGAAGAATTAATGTATTTTCACTATATAATCAATAGAGCCCCCCCCCTAACCCCAGAACCCTCAATCCAGGGGACACAAAATTCCCAATTTTGAAAGAGACATTCTTGTTCATCATAACTATGTACTTGGTTAGTTTGTTTAATACCCAGGAGCAGAGAAGAAGATTTTCAAAGATCCATGCATTTTCACTATACAATTAATAGAGCCGCGCCCTAACACACCAGAACCCTTGACCCCGGGGTCATGAAATTCACCTTTTTGGAAGGGGTAGCCTTATTCAACATAACTATATATTGGTTTGTTTATTATATACCCAGGAGCAAAGAAGATTTTCAAAGAAATAATGCATTTTCACAATATAATCTATTGAGCCCCGCCCTAGCACCTAAGAACCTCTGACCCTGGGGCCATGAAATTAACAGTTTTGGAAGAGGCAGCCTTAATCAACATAAATTTGTACTTATTCAATGCCCAAGAGCAGAGAAGAAGATTTTCAAAGAAATAATGCATTTTCACTATATAGTCTATTTAGCCCCTCCCTAGCACTAAAACCCCTGAGCCCAGGGCCATGAATTTCAAAATTTTGGTAGAAGACTCAATGCTTGTTACAACCATGCAATCACAGTTTAACTGCTTGATGCCCAGGAGTAAAGAAGAAGATTTTTAAGATTGCATTAATTTTAGTGGTTTTTGCCCCACCCGTCAGCCCCCAAGGGGGGGGGGGGGCAGGGACCATGAAATTCATAATTTTTGTTCTCCTTCACCCATAGATGCTTTATACCACATTTGGTTGAAAATGGTTGAGTGGTTGCCGAGAAGAATATGAAAATGTTCAAATGTTAACGCACGACGACGGACAAAAACGGATAGCAATAGGTCACCTGAGTTTAGACTGACAGTTAGCCCTCCAGAAAGAAAGGCTTTTTCTAGGCATATATAATGGTGAGTGTATTTTGTTAGTTAAACCATTGCTTATGTTATGAATGTTTTAGCTGCTAGAGAAAAACCTAATACTGTATGTAGATCACTATTATATTTTCTCGATACATTAATCTTGCGAATAAGCTGATTGGTATTTATTAGAGAGAAAATAAGTTAACTTAGCGATCTGTTGTTTCTGTTGTATATAATCCTGTAAAATATATATATATACGCGAGAAATAAATTTTGCGAGCATATAGAACCGCGTAAAACGCAGAAATAAAAATTTCTCGCGAATAAAAAGTGATTTGCAGTATCCGTTTGTAGTTATTATTTTCATTATTTATTTAAGCTTAGCAATCTTCAAGAATATGAAAAGAGACACACTATATTTTTACTATACATGATCATATCGTAGGTTCACCCGCTAATTAAATGATATATACTTATGAAATATTCAAGAAGTATTCAAAAGATTCCTTCGTATAAAGCAAAAGAAAACCAAATAAAAAATCTACTCACCGAAAGAATTAGATAATTTGTCTATTTTTATTCCAAACTCTGTTAAACTTCTCTGAATTCCAATAATATGTGTTTCACTACACTGCACAACAGCTTTAACTGGATTTTCGTTTTGGGTGGCAGAGGAAAAACATATCTCCAGATACAGTATAGTAGCAAATGCTAAAATACGTACAGGCTGCGCGTACATTTTTGATTAAAATATTTATAATGCAGTTTAACAGTATAACAATTTGTAGTTGATTAGTCGTAGCATTTGCCAAGGGCTGGCTGAAACCAACTGCATTATGATGCAAAACATTTTATATGTACATCTCGATCGGATATGCATTACGCCTTTTAGGCAAACATTTTAGCTCACCTGAGCCGAAGGCTCAAGTGAGCTTTTCTGATCACATTTTGTCCGTCGTCCGTCCATCTACAAATGTAGCTGTCTGTCTGTCCGTCTGTAAACTTTTCACATTTTCGACTTCTTCTCAAGAACCACTGGGCCAATTCTAACCAAACTTAGTACAAAGCATCCTTGGGAGATGGGGGATTTAAATTATTACAATGAAGGGCCATGTCCTCTGACAAGGAGAGATAATTAAAAAAAAATAGGTGCGGTCATTAAAAAATCTTCTCAAGAACCACTGTGCCAGAAAAGCTGAAAATTATGTGGAAGCATCCTGAGATAGTGTAGATTTTAAATTGTTCAAATCATGTCCCCCAGGGGTTGCGCGGGGCCACAATGGGGAATCAAATTTTTACATAGAAATATACAGGAAAAATCTTTTAAAAATTTCTTCTCAAGAACCACAGGGCGAGAAAAGCTGAAAATTATGTGGAAGCATCTTGGAATAGTGTAGATTCTAAATTGTTCAAATCATGACCCCAAGGGGTTGATCGGGGTCACTATAGGGAATCAAAGTTTTACATAGAAATATATAGGAAAAATCTTTAAAAATCTTCTTATCAAGAACTACTTAGCCAGAAAAGCTGAAAGTTATGAGGAAGTATCCTGGGGGTAGTGTAGATTTTAATTTATCCAAATTATGACCTGTGGAATACGATGGGGTCACAATAGGTATTACAAGGGGGAAATCTGGTTAAAAATAGCATGGTCAAAGCTTCTCAGGTGAGCTATGTGGCCCATGGACCATGTTTTTTTTTTAATTATGGCTATATTTTAAAAGGGAACTAGTTTTTCAGTCTAATCCTTTAAAAGTGCATTTTACTATGAAACAAATTGAACGAACATGATTAAATTCAAGTATCATTCTGTGAGTGGTGATGAATTTTAGCTAATTAATGCATGACTTGTCTTCCACGTTCAACAGCTGGACTGATAAAAACCATTAGACACTCATAATACTCGGTAGCATATTATTTCAAAGCACTATTGTAGCCTATTTAACTAGTGCAGTGCATTTACAGTTGAAAGTACAAAGATATATTCTTTTTCTAGCATTATTTAAAACTGCATCTAACTGCAATGGTTTTATTACGTCAACAATAAAACAATCTAAGATCAGATGTTCAATCTGGAGTTAAAAGGCATTTCTTGTATCAATATTTAAAGTATCGTAAATTTAAATAAGTGTTCACATTTACATTGTCATCGTAGTTACAAAAATGAAGGCACTCGTTCGCAAATAAATCCATGGGGCCAAGTTGCACTTATGTCATCCCACAGTCCTTTATATGTCACCCTCAGTCCAATAGATTCATGACTTTCTTTAGGTTCCCCGGAGTACCAGTAAAATGTGGCAATTTCTCTTCCGTCAGAAAAAGTCCAGGAACCATTGTTTTGCTTTTCTCCGTCAATTCTATATTTCGAAACAGATGCTAAAAATAAACAAAAAAACACTTGTATAGTTTTTATAGCTACCATAGAATATGCATGTAAATTGAATGTAGCGGTACATATATTTTGAAAATTAATGTGTGCGGTTATGTTATTTGAACTTGAGACATACATGTATTTTATTCCATCTGATATTAGAAATGTATTATCTGATTCAGTTTTATCTTTTACAGAATCCAATTTACCTTGCAACTTTCACATGAAAGAATTATACTGTGTAAACCCCCCTTTTTTGGAAAAATTGCATGTAAAGCACCTCATATGAATAATAAAATTATGGAAACAAGAGAAAAGGCAGTATATTTTTTTAACAAACCGTAATATTTCCGCTAAAATATATAAAATTAAACGATTATAAATGCAATAAGTCATATTGGTAGGTAAATAAATATTCATTACATTTGGGTAAATTTATATGATCATTTCCTGTATAAAAATGGAAGAAACATTTTTTATTCTAACAATAAACCAAAACTTTGATCACCCACGCCTAACGAAACAATGAAATGTCATCTAATTAACCATGTGATACATAGAAAAATGACTTTCTTACCTGTTGTTTGTAGGTTTAATGATTCTACCAAAATTTGTTTCCTGTATGTATTAATTCTCAGCAAATGACCATTATTTTGTTGACAGGATGTCACAGCATCAGCCTTTGTTAAAGCCACAGCATTAATTTTATAACACAGAGGGACCAAAGGATCGTAGACATATCCATGTGATGAACACTCAGATTGAAGTTTACCTAGTAAGACATATTATGCAAATATATGACGAAATTACATGTAACCACTGTATACAAAGTGCTAATCGAAAATCTACTTGATTTGGATCACTAGCTATATTTGTTTGGATCATTCGAAGTTTCTGTCTGCACATTTAGACAAAAATGTGCTTTTATATACGTTTTCTTACTGATAATAAAACTGCTTCAAACAATATGAGATTTCTTCGTGGTATATTTAAAGATTATCATATTTTTGTTTCATCTACCCCTCCATAAACATCGGTAGCACGCGTTTTTCACGCATCTGATGGTCATTTTTCGACTAATCACCCACTGGAATGGACTGTCGACATTATTTTAATAAAACATTTATTGTAATGTTTAATATGAATCTTTATCAAACGTAAGCTATTAAATTTGACTACAAGGTCTTCTTTATATCTTGGCAATTACATCAAATGTGCACCTACCCAACTTTTCCAGAGCTATTTTAGATTTGCGTAGAAAATATCCGGAAAGCTATCTTTGTTGTCATGACAGCTATACTTTTTTCGAGTATACATACAGCATTTAAGCCTATTGTGCAATACTATAATAATACAATTATATTTAACAAAATCAATATCACAAAAATATGTGCAACATATCAGTCAATATCGTCTGTCTTCCCACCAACTAGAGATAGAACGAGGAAGATTTTTTAATATTTCTAGAATAGAAAGATTATGTAAATTTAGTACAATGTCTCAGGTTGAAGAGTACCATTTTATTCTGGTTTGTCCATTTTTCCCGTTAGAAAAGAGTATATTAAGAAATATTATCACCAAAAACCCTCTACCTTTAAACTTGTTCAATTGTTGTCGACAAAAAATGTAAAAGATGTAAATGTAAACTGGGAAAATATCTTAGGAATGTACAAGATTGAGAGCAGAAGTTAATTTGACATTGATATAACGAATTTATCCTCACTACTACTATTACTAAATTTATAATATGATGCCTTGTCTGCTTTATGAACTAGAATGAATAGTTTATAAGAATTGTTCTATGATCCTGCTTTACTTAATGTACAAATGATATTGAAATTGTTATACATATATTGTACAATCTGATTGTATATACAGTGTACGTGAAACCTATGAACTATATGGCTTTTGGTAATAAACAATACAATACCAAATATGAAGTCTGTATCTCTCATGGTTCAAAAGTTATGGCGAAAGTTAAAGTTGACAAGAGACAGATAAACAAACAGACAGGACAAAAACAATAAACGCCCGGGCGTATAAATTAAAATGCTGCTTCTTTAAAACACGTATGGTACAAGTGTATATATTTAACATTATTGTAAATTTTAAAAAAAAATTAACGTTACCAAATATTTGTGCAAGATACCAAAGGATCATGTTTCCTTCATAATCTTATTAGAAATCATTTTAATTACCAAATCACAATTTGTGGTTTATCTATATGTATATATATATATATATATATATATATATATATATATATATATATATATATATATATATATATATATATATATATATATATATAATACGATTAAAGATAGTATAGTTTTTCAGGATATAACGTTGGGCAATACAGCCCATCAGTTTACAAAATAACAAATAGTACATATAATATATAATACAATGACTCTAATGAATAAAGATGCATAGTTATTTTTCAGTGCATTTTTGTGTTTTGGAATGCTGAAGTGATTAAATAATTTCTCAAGGTCACTTTTCGTGATTTGAAGGGGGGAAACAGGATCTACATCTTTTGAATTTACTTTCCTGAGTAAACAAGTGTTGAGTTGTTATAGGACTGAAATGTTACATTTTAATGGAGAAATAAATGGGAAAAATCAACCATCAAGAAGATAAATGACTTCAAATTGATATTCCTTATAATCAACAATCGGTTAACATTTTTTATCTAAGACAACATACATAATTGCTGAATATTTGATATGAAAACATAATAATTACCAACTATATCAAAATGAAACACACTGTCTGACTTCGTAAAATATGACTCGGTGATATCACTTTCACTGAACTGTTTAGATCCTTCGAACGTCACACAGTGGGTTCCATTAAAGAAAAACGAAGAACAAGTTGAAGAAGCGTGACACTCTCGTCCACATACATGTATCCCGACCATCTCTTTGGACGTTAACTCACTGGGTTTAACTGTTGGGTGTGTAATCAGTTGTCTAACATATGTCGTATGTTTGTATGACTGTGCCAAAACTAAAGGAAACTATACGATTATGTATTATAATTTTAACTTAACATTTAAATCTTTGCCGAAGCATCTGATTATAGTAAAACAATCTCTTAATTAATTACGCGGTGAAAGTATCAATATATCATTCATTCCCTTTTGATTGAATAGATTGAACCACAGGTTTTCGCGTACCTATCAATTATACCTAAATTTTCATTAAATAAAAAGATACGCAATACGTATAATAATAATATTATAGGTATTACGTATCTTTTTTATTTACCTAAAATTTCGGCAAAATTGATAGGTACGCGAACTCCTGTGATTGAACACAGACAAACTTAAACGCAATAAGTGCTTTTATGAAAATTGATTTCAATAATATTTAACATATATATGTTTCTTCTCAAAATTATGTTTTTTAAACACCAATACA